TAAAAGCGCTATACAAATAAAATTGAATTGAATTAAGGACCCTGCACAGGTTTTATGCCAACAACGCCGCAAGGCAGTGTAGTTGGTTCACTGGGGAACCATCTGTGGGCAGTGCTATAAAGTGAACCCTAGCACTGATGGCTGGCAACGGCCAGTTTTCTCGACCTGAACGCAGTGCCTCAGACCACTCGGCCACCCTCCCACACAGGGCAGACCATGCCCAGGTCTGACGCTGAGGTTGCCCATGCCCAGGTCTCATGCTCACGTTTTACATCAACAACACCGTAAGGCAGTGTAGTTGGTTCACTGTGCAACCATCTCGGGGCGGTGCTGTAAAATCGGATCGAATCGAGCCTCAGAATCGAATGCAATGACCAGTTTTTACCCATCTTCTGGCAAACAGAAGCTCAGCCCCACTCTTCAGCATTGGAACCTGTGCTGGGAAAGCTTATTAGCTTCCAGGTTCAGTATTAGAGTCAACTTTATTGTCATTGTGCAACGTAATGAGTACAAAGCCAAAGAAATCCAACAGTGCTTTATAACCAGTTTAAAAAAAAAAAATAAAAAATACATACCTGGATTTTGAATCACTCCATTGTATGTCATTCAAGCATCAGTACCAGCCACCACAGGGCAAGGTTCAGCTGCCTTTTGACAAATCAAATCTCAGACATATTCATAAGCATCCTAAACTATGCAGGAAGGCTTCAGTGGATTTCTTTCAACCTCTTAACATGAAACAATGGACTTTGGTATGGGAAGTCCACCAAAAAGCAGCAAGGTCAAATGTCAGAAGTGGGATTCAAACCCACGCCTCCAGGGGAGACTGCGACCTGAACGCAGCGCCTTAGACCGCTCGGCCATCCTGACACAATGGGTGCTACTCAGTGTTATGTTCCCTTGCATCCTAAGGATGTCTCCAGTTTACAGTGTTTGATTGCCTGAGAGATGTTAAACAGTGGATGTCTGCCAACTTCCTCCAGTTAAATGATTCTAAGACTGAGGTCTTAATTTTTGGCTCCCCTGCTTCTACAGAGGTTGTGGCCAGTAAACTGTTTTTTTTAAATGGACACATATCTGGATTTTGAACCACTCCATTGTCTGTCATTCAAGTATCAGTAACAGCCACCACAGGGCAGGGTTCAGCTGCCTTTTGACAAAGCAAGCCTCACACAGAGTCAGCAGGATTCAAACCTGCCCGGGGAAACCCCAATGGATTTCTAGTCCATCACCTTAACCACTCGGCCACAACTACAGGACTGCAGGACGCTGCAATTTCCATAGCAGACAGTGATGCAGCTGGTCAGCACACTCTCAATGGTGCCCCTGTAGAAAGCGGTGAGGATGGGTGGAGGGAGACTTGCTCTTTTCAGCCGGCGGAGAAAGTGGAGGCACTGTTGGGCCTTCTTGTTGAGTGACGTGATGTTGGTAGTCCAGGTGAGATCCTCTATAATGTGCACTCCCAGGAATTTAGCGCTGCTGACTCTCTCCACGGCCGAGCCGTCGATGGTCGGTGGGGGGTGATCAACAGAGTTTCTCCTGAAGTCCATCACAACCTCCTTTGTCTTACTCACATTGAGGGACAGGTTGTTGACACCGCACCATTCGGCCAGCTGTGCCACTTCCTCTCTATAGTGTGTTTCATCGTTGTTTCTGATGAGGCCTACCACAGTTGTGTCATCAGCAAACTTGATGATGTGGTTGGAGCTGAACTTGGCAGCGCAGTCGTGAGTGAGCAGTGTGAAGAGCAGCGGGCTGAGCACACAGCCCTGTGGGGCACCTGTGCTCAGTGTGGTAGTGCTGGAGGTGTTTTGGCAGACATGGACCGACTGAGGTCTTTCAGTTAAAAAGTCCAGGATCCAATTACAGAGGGGTAGGTTGAGGCCCAGCAAGTTTAGTTTGTTGATAAGCTACTGAGGGATTATTGTGTTGAATGCTGAGCTGAAATCGATGAACAACATTCTAACATAAGAGTCTTTCTGTTCCAGGTGAGTAAGAGCTAGGTGGAGAGTGGAGGATATTGCATCGTCCGTGGAAGGGTTTGGACGGTATGCAAACTGGAATGGGTCCAGCGTGTTTGGGAGACTGGACTTGATGTGGTGCATGACCTACCTCTCAAAGCACTTCATCATGATTGGGGTCAGTGCTATGGGACGATAGTCATTCAGGCAGGACACAGTTGACTTCTTTGGTACTGGAATTATGGTGGTGGATTTGAGACATGTGGGGATGACTGCCTGGCTCAGTGAGGTGTTGAAGATATCTGTTAGGACATCCGTCAGCTGTGCAGCACAATCTCTTAGTACATGGCCAGGTATGTTGTCAGGGCCCGCAGCCTTACGTGGGTTGATCCTGGACAAGGTCTTTCTTATGTTGGCTGAGAGACAGAGCACCTGGTCGTTTGGAGATGTGTGTAGTTTTTGTGCAGGTGTGTTTTGCCTTCTTGATCCCATGAGACAGATTGGCTCTTGCTGTTTTGAGAGCTGGCTTATCTCCTGATCTGAATGCCTCATCTCAGATTTTTAGCAGCCCGTCATCCTTAGTTATGGAATTTTGTCTAAACATCTAGGACTGTTTGCATGTTTTTGTTTTGTTCATTTTCTGAAAAAAGTAGCTCACCCAACAGCAAAATTTGTTAACCACCATGTAGTTCTTCAATAACCTACTGAAGATTTTTTTCTTTGTATGTCTTCCGGTGAATGTCGAGCAAATGGGGAAGAAAAAAAAACATTTATCCTAAACCAGATTATTAATCCTGGTGAGGTAGCAGTTATTATGTTAACTTTCCTAAATTATATGTAATTTAATGTAAGTTATAATTGATGTTGCAACTCTTTAAACCCATCAGGATATATTTAATATGTGTCTAGAATAAAATATTTTTAATATAATTCTCAGTATATGGCTATAATTTTGCAAACCATGGGTGTCATGTGGCCTGAGCATTGCGTATTACCCCAAATGTTGCAATTTGTATGTATGTATGTATGTACATGATGTTCTTGAGATGTAAACGGAAAATGTTAACCCTATGTTAATGGTTGAGCATTGGTTTAGGTAAAGCAGTTTTCTGTAAAAGCTGAATGTTGTCCAAACAGAGTTAGCTACACCCATGGCTATTAACATACTACGGTATACACGGAACAGAAATTATTAATAATGATACCCTAGGTGTTACCCAGACATCTGGATATAAATTGACCTAATTTTCTTCTTCTTCTTCTTTCGGCTTTTCCCTTCAGGGGTCGCTACAGCGAATCATCACTCTCCACCTATCCCTATCTTCTGCATCCTCAACACTTGCACCCACTAGCTTCATATCCTCCATATACCTCCTCTTTGGCCTTCCTCTTCGCCTCCTGCCTGGCAGCTCCATGTCCTACCAATATACTCACTCTCCCTCCTCTGAATGTGTCCAAACCATCTTAATCTGGCCTCCCTAACTTTGTCCCCCAAACATCCAACATGAGCTGTCCCTCTGATGTACTCGTTCCTAATCCTGTCCAACCTTGTCACTCCCAAAGAGAACCTCAACATCTTCAGCTCTGCTACCTCTAGCTCTGACTCCTGTCTCTTCCTCAGTGCCACTGTCTCTAAACCATACAGCATGG